CTATTGGCTATGAACTGGTCCAGACCGGTCCTCAATTTAGGACCGAAAACTGGTTGGACTGGTCCAAAAGACCGGTCTGGACCACGGTCCTTGTAGGACCGTAACATCCCTAGAAATCACGTGAATGAAGATTTTCCCTAGTGATAGCTTTCACGTTCGGGTGTTTAGTAAACTTCAAATTTTATTATCTAAACATATGCTACTTTTTAATAGGTAGCCTTTTTGTAATATATAATAATCTAATTAATCTATTTTTTTTCCGTTAACTTCTTTTTTTTGTATTCATTAATTAATTCTTCCTGAACATAAGGTAAAACAGGTTGATGTGTTTTGTACTCCATTGTAAATTCACCCTTACCCTATATTTATTTTTTTGAAAATATGTTAATAAACAAAATTTCATTTATAATTAAATATAAAAATCTGGGTGCATATTTTAATTTACCTGTGTAGCACTTCTTAAATCTGATGAATATCCAAACATATTATTTAAAGAAACTTCTGCAGTCACAACAAAATGATCTTCTTGAATTTCTGTATCAAGAATAGTACCTTTTCGCTTGTTTAAATTACCAATGACAGCCCCTTGAAATTCAATTGGTGCAGTAATAGATACATTCATAATTGGTTCCAGAATGACAGGATTAGCCTTCATGAATGCTTCTCGAAATGCGTACAACGCTGCAAGACGAAATGCAAGTTCTGAAGAATCTACAGCGTGATGGGCTCCATCTTCAAGAACAAAACGAACATTTTTAATAGGATGACCGATTAAGGAACCTTTTTCTAGACCGTCTTGAAAACCCTATTAGATTAATTAAAATTATTTATTACAAATATAAATGTAACATATTGACCCATGAATAATAAAATACCTTTTCAACAGCCGGAATGAAATTGGTTGGAATATGCCCACCAACGACTCGGCTTTCAAATGCTGGAAGTGGCTCTTCATCTTCATCCGTTGCTTCCTTTAATGGTTCAATATATCCCATCACTTTACCATACTGGCCAGCCCCACCAGTCTGTTTTTTATGCGTATAATCGAATTTAGCTGTTGACATTATAGTTTCTCTGAAAGCCACTTGAGGCTTGCCTGTTATACAATCAACATTATATTCTCTCTTCATGCGTTCAACATAAATGTCTAGATGTAATTCGCCCATTCCAGAAATAATAGTTTCTTTGCTTTCTAGGTCGTATGTAACACGAAAGGTAGGATCTTCCCTCTGAAATTTATTTAGGGCCTTTGAAAAGTTTGGAGAGTCTTTGACATTTGGCGTGATCGATAAAGAAATAACCGGCTCTGGAACAAACATGGATGTCTATTATATTAAACAAGTTAGAAAAATTTTTAGATATTTCTATTTTTAGTATAAAAAAGTTGTCCGCTGAAACAGTGATATTACGAAAACAATTAACTCATCACATCATTACATAATCAAGCGATTATATTTCACCATTCGTTATTTCTTTTTGTTAAAAATTAATGGAGAACATACCATTGTATAAGACAATGCTCCGTCAGT